TTGAACTGTTTCCTAGGCTTTTCACTCATAAGGGTTTCTGAATAGCTCTTTGTCTGGTCCTTCACCCAGGACCAATTTGTCATTTGACAACATAGCCCCTGGGATTCCTGGGATACACAAAACCCTCCACCACGATAAGGTAGCGATTCATAGAGGGGATCATAGATTAATTTCTAAAGACAGAGTAAAATAAAATCACAGATGTGGTATTTCTTTCATCCTGAAAAGAAGAAGAACCCAAAATAGTCTATAAAACATTTTTGCTAACATGAAAAGACACGGGAACATCAAATCCATCCCAGAGTGAGAGAAGTGAAGCAGAAAACTGTTAAGGCTTTCATCAGAGGAGTTATTTTATTTTGAAAACATTTCAGGAAATTGGTTTTATTTTGAAAATGTGACCGGACCCGTAAATGCACACACTCAATCGCTTTGTCCGTTAATGGAACTCGGACTAGTATCATGTCTTTTTTAAACAACTGTTTTCTCGAGGTTAAAGCATGCGCGGGATGGAGGATACGACAACCGGAAGCTTTTCAGCTGTTTGTATCCGCTGCTTTAATCAGCTCGTTTGTTCCCGTAAAACCGACGGCGGAGAAGAAAAAAGGAGAAAAAGAGCTAAAAGTGTCCGATAGTGAAGTTCTGAGGATATCGATGAGTAGCGGGAAAGCTGCCGCGTCATCTCGCGATATTTGGGTTTTAAAATGAACCATTTAACCAGGTAAATAAACTGAAGCGATGATTTGTTGTGTTGTTTACCTGCAGCAACTCTGGATGGCGGACTTCCGTGTTTCCATGGAAACTAAAGACAACGAACGCGCAGGCGCACTGACAAATGCAGGGGAGGAGCTTACATCGGGAGCTACATTTTTTAAAATCTGACAGTTTATATTTGCATTTCAACTTTAGTAAAATTATTCACTAAACATATTTGTGGTTTTTACAGTAAAGCGAATATAACTATGACAAGGATTTGATGTTTTTGTGTGATTTCAGATCAGTTGTGTTACTACAGTATGTCAGTGAAAAACTCTGAGGTTGAGCTGAATGATGCCAAACAAGGCGAGGTAACAAAAGATGTAAGGGTGAA